TTTTCAGGTTTAATTCCCAAAATATCGATTTTTGGAACAAAAACGTGGTAACCAAAATTGTTTAGAATTTGATTATCCACAAGTTTAGTCCTCTTCATTTATGCCGTAAAGTTGAAAATAAACGAGATAATGAAAATATTTCGAATTTGTCGCTTTTTTCAGGTTTAATTTACAAAATATCGATCCTATCAGAAAAATTGTGAGGACCAAACTTGTAGAGAACCAAATTTACTACAATTTTTGTCCCCAAACTTTTTCTGTTGAATCAAAAATGGCCGAGTTATTCAAGAAAAACCGTTTTTTAACAAAAACATACCCAAAAGCTTGATTTGGTCGCCGTTTTGAATTTGCACTCCCAGTGACCCCCCCCGAGACACCTATGAAAAAAAAAACACTAAAAAATTATTCACGGGTCAAAGTCTATAATGACTGGACTAATTCTTTGTTACCGCAACTTCCGGACAAAGAGAAGAGCTGAGTCAATCTATCAAATATCAAAATACGCGTCCTTTGAAGATTATCTATTTCATGTTTGACATTCTCTGTATGTTTCCATGGGATCGCGACCGGTAGTTGCGGCGTCGTTTGTCGGCGGAATTTTCTTTCGTGACTACCTTCCCCTAATTGCACTGAATTGACCTATTTTTATTGCTTTTTCCATTTCATTAGTCCAAATATGACGAGTAATTCATTCACTTTAACAAGTTCATTGTTTCTAATTTGGCCAGGCAGGATATTTTTGTACTCTCCTTTCAATTAAATTAGCAATAAAATCTTCGTGTAGAATTAAATCATAATCGTTTCAAAATGATAGATCCGAGAAATTCACAGCACATATCAGAATTATCAGAGAATCATTTTCTGAGTAACTCTTTTCAAATAAACAAAGGAGATAAACGGCTGGTCACTTGAATTCAATATTTCATTGTGTGATAAGACTGAAAATTGACAACATATAGGATGCAGCAATAACAAGGCTTTCTGTTCCGTTGCTATTGACACTCATCAAGACAGAACATGGAAATTGTATATACAGGGTGACATAGAAAAAAGTACATGGCATAGTGCCACACAATAGAGGATACTAAAATAAGAAAAAAAGTTCCTATGAACATGGGTCCGCAAGGCCTTCGGTTAAAAGATACGGGGTGTTGAATTCAAATTTTTTTGGGTTTTCTTTGAATATCTTTAGCCAGAGACGCAAGAAATAGATAAAATGTGGTATACTGGGGTTTTTTATCATGCTAAATTCAAATATGATCTAAGTTTTGTGATGACTGCATACAGGGTTCCATCCCTATTGAATCGGTCGTAACTTTTTTGCTATACACTATATGTCATTTTCGATGGAAAAAATTTGTTATCCCTTCTTTTATACTTAAGAAAGGTATACCTTGTCCAAGTCGCTAGAAGCAATGGTTCCAGTACAAATGCATCTGAAAGCCGACAATGCACGCAAATTATTCAAAAAGCACCAAAGTAACTTTTGCAAAAACAATGATGAATACTTCAACAATTACATTTTAATGGTATGATGAAAAATATGATTAATTAGAACAAAACATTAAGTTTTTAGAAGATGTTCAAATTGTTGTCCTTATACTTCAATACATTTTTCCATTAAAATTCAACACCCCGTATCTTTTAACCGAAGGCCTTGCAGACCCATGTTCATAGGAACTTTTTTCCTTATTTTAGTGTCCTCTATTGTGTGGCACTATGCAATGTACTTTTTTCTATGTCACCCTGTATACAATTTCAAATGATCGGAATCACCCAGCCATAAGAAATTGTCAATACTAAAAATGTGCCAGAGGAAAAGAAACTTAATGTTGAAAACGAAATCAGTTTTTATTTTAAAATGTCCTGAGACGTCTATACTTTTTATTGATCAACTTTTTTCTACAAGGTGTTTCTAATTCTCGAGGAGTTTCTCTTTAAGATAGGTGATAGTTGAATTGATTAACGGGGTGACTTTTTGTTTTTGAGAGCGATCAATTAATTAGATTCATTGTGTCATAATTTTGAAAACTAGAAGTGAAACCCAATGATCTTCAGAAATTTAGTCCCTTTCATTTGAACCTCTTAGGAATAATAATAAAAGGTGTAATGAAGGTATTCTTGGAAGAAACTTATTATTTCTGCTGTGACAGGAAAAGAGTTAGAAATTTCATCTCTGTTGACAGGTTATAAAATGTCACTTTTCAAAAATTTTGATTTTTCCGCGAACGTTTGAACCTTCAAATTAATTGAAGAAATTGGACCGAACGCAAACGGGGCGTGGTTACCTGTGACGTCACACTGCCTATATTGGATCACAGTTTAGGGAATATAACATAGTATTCTCTAAACTGTGATTCGATACCTAACGTATGAAACGTCGCGAGTCAAGAGTGCATACATATTGTAAGTACAGTGAGATGCCAAGAACATTTAGATGGTGTTATCGCAGAAGTGACTAGAGGTGGTGCTATCACTGTCCAGTTGCGACATGTTCATTGCATCTGACTGTACTACTACTCTATTTTCACTCTTGTATACGAACGCAACATACAATTTTTTTAATCTTTTATTTACCCTGTATAAAAATAAGCCCAGAGAGTAAGAACCATATTGAACAGATATTTAGGTAATAGCTAACTGAATTGAAAAAAGATATCAATTATCCAATTTGTTCATATAAAAATACGGAATTTTGAGTAAAGCATCATTTTTCGATTTCAACGTCCTGTCCATTACCATAAAGATATCGACTTCAGGTAAATTTGCAGAATCTGCTCCAATAAATCGAGTATCTACTGAATTCGTCTCAAATAGCAAAGGACTATTAATCTTTTAAGATTTGAAGATATTGCAGCTGGAAGCAACTTTCTTATGTGAAACGCAATGGTTTACTGCCGAATATCAGAACAAGGTGACGTCACAGTCGGTTCTGCCGTTTTAAAGGAGCTCCATTTTCAATTTCCAATATCTAAGTAGTGGGGCAAGTTGAAGAGGTAAGAATTTAACCAGTTAATTTGATGATCGGGTTTTAGAAAATATTTCATTGATAACAAGCCCATTGCAGTCTTTTAACTATTTATTTGCAAAACCAAGGGATAGAAAAAGATACCAAGCTATAATTCAGGCCAGTAAGATAGGGACTTTTGGTGGAAATTGATGTTGAAAAGCGGCAGATCGTTTTGATCACTTCATAAGACGTCAAATGATAGTATCTTAGCGGTTCCAAGCGATCATTACATTTTCGGAATTATTTCAGTTTTTCGATTTTTACTCCAAAACTGTCGTGCTTCTCAGCGAAAATTTCAACTTCACAAGAAATGAGGAACATATAATTAGTAGTGAATCAAAATCGGCGGTTGAAAAATGAGAATTTCCACTTATTTTGCCAACAAATCTACTGATGCGACTTTCAAACGACTTCAACTTGAAATCGGCTGTTCCAAGTGAAGAAAGTCATTCAATGAACATTGTAGACTTGAAAAGCTTCAAATTCTGCTTCCAGCGAGTATTTTAAATTCTGATTTCTATAATGAATGTATAGAGAAATTTGAATTTTTCGATTTTTGACACACGTTTAGCATTACCCGATAAAGGTACCTGCCAGGTACCAGTGCATCCACATCTCCAGTAGGTTTGTTATCAATTCAGAATTTGGTATTATGAATTGACAATTCATCGTTAGGAGTAAAAAAAAGATTCGGAAAAATATACAAATATAATGAACACAAGTCACATTTATAGATTTGTTGACAAAGTTAGTAAAAATGTTCTTTTGTCGCCCGCCTCTTTTGACCATACTACTCGACCTAATTCGAAGCATAGGGAATTCATTCAATGCAGAATTGCATGTTCTTCATTTTTGGCTCAGTTTCGAAGTAAAAATCGAAAAACTGCTTCGCTTCGATGAATCGAATAATCAAGGATACTCTTAGTTGACGTATAATGAACTGATCAAATCCATCTGCAACATTCATTTCCACCAACGGTCCACACAGGGTCCAATTTTATTGGCCTAATTATTCATTTATGAGTTTTCCTGGTGAAGGTACCAACTCATTTTTGTACAAAGATACATTACTTGTATTATTTCAAAGAATGAATTGGATGTGTATTCAGAAATTTATATTGATATTGAAATAATAATAATTAATGTTGCAGTGGCGATGGTGGAAATGCATGAGATAGATTTTATGGAAAATATCTACGTGCATAACCAGTTATCATGGGTGACAGGATCAAACAAAATGAATAGAACAACACTTATATTACCGTTATTTTTACTATAAAAAATTTAATATTCAATCATGAAGTCTAAAATACAAAATATACAACTAATATAAAATGTTCAAAGTAATTAAAACTGTACATTATCACAGTGAGGCAAGACACGCCTTGCTTCAATTATCGAAATGGCAATTATCTAGTCCATAAGTAATTCGAAATTGAGTATCATATATATAGAGATAATAATTCTGCTTTTTCCTATTTCTATAAAAATATAACGCTCTATAAAGTTGTTAATAATCTTGTGGAGGGATATTATCAAAAATGTCTATCCTAACAATGCAGGAATTCTAGTTTGAATTGCACTACAAGCAAATTCCTTAGAAATTCATCGAAGTATTTTAAAGATATTCAAATATCTAAAAATAAGAAGAAGAAACTCAATATACAGGAAATAGGCAGTTATAGTTCAGGAACTTCAGTAGAATGTCCTATCCTCGTGTGCATCATTTTTGTATTTATAAATTCCTCGAAAAAAATATATGAATTTATTGATAATCATGAGAACTTTGAAAATCACAAATATCTTTTACATTTCAAGGATTTTCATTATTTATGAGCATAATTGAATGAACTGTTCCGCAATCATAAATAACAATGAATTTCATCAAAAGTACAGATTGTGTAGTCACTTCTCGTATTTCATTAATTATCGAAAATCAAATTATCGTTACCGACTGCAGAATTATTTTCGATTCATTTCGTGAGGTGATTTAGAGTCTATAAGACGGTCCAGCCTGTATTAATAATTTTTCGTCACTTGGTTTCTCTGGCAATGGCCTTAACGTAGTTGAACCATTAGATTTCACAGTGTCATTGCTGTTCTTGGCATCGATCCGCTCACTTTTATTCTTCAGTTCGGAATACAAGTGTACTGCAGCATCAGTTGGTTCAGAATATTCACCTACTAGAGCAGGTTTTTGTTCATTTGGCTCTCTTTCTCCAGTTTGCAGGTTATTGAATTTCTCTTCCATTAGCTTGAGAATACTCCTTGCCCCATTTGAAGTTTCTTTTTCTTCTTCGTAAGGTGGTGGAGGTATTTGTAAGTTGAGATTGCCGAGTTCTTCATAAAGATGAGCTTCTTCTTCTTGCCTATTATTGTTTTCATAGGCATCATCTATTATAAACATTTCGTAAAGCCTCTCAATCATTTCTGAAGCTTCTTGGTGAGTATTGGGGTCATCAAGTCTTTTAGATAAGACTTGAAGAAATTCTAAGGTCAGTTCTTCTGGAATATCTAGTTTCTCATTTTCGTCCATGGTCACAATGGTGCCTTCCTCCTCGTTACTTAATTCATTGTTGTTATAATGAACGTTTCGAAAGCAACCTTTCTCTTTCAGCCATCTACTGCCTCTTACGAGCAAAATGATGAAAGTAACTATAATGGCCACTATGAAGAGTCCAATTATGGTTATCATAAAAATTAGCCAACTTTGTTTTTCAGAATCGTCCTCTGGGATGAAAATTTTACTAGTTGTGTTCACTATCCTCGTTTTTCCTTCATATGGTTCGCAAACAGTGAAGTTTGTGCAAGCTGTTTTGGTAAAGTTTTGGATATTGATTATTCCAACAGGTAAGGAAAAACATCTGGACAAGAAATCGTCAACTGTACAAAAACTAGTGTCCATAACAAGTTCATTTTTTCCAGAATTATTCGTTATACTTTCAATCCACTTGTCAATAGAGCAGTTACAAGATTTGTTGAAGAAATTGTCGTCAAAAATTAGAAATTTATTCTCCACCTGTGAGATGAAACTGAAAGCGCCGTCCTCGATCCTATGTATTTCGTTGCCTTTGAAGGACATTTTTTCTATATCTGTACCATGTGATGCTTCTATGAATCCGGAATGGAGGTGTATGATTATGTTGTGGTCCATCACGATTCTATTCCAGTTCATGATATTGAAGCCAGACGTTTGGATGTTGACGATGTGATTACCCACTACTTCAAAATTCGCGATTGTGCTGGTTATGGCTTTGGATTCTATATCTGTAACACTAAAAATTGAATACTTGAATAAAATATTGGGATAATATATTCAATAAAAAAGCAAGGCGTTGATAAAATTTGAGCAATCGAAATAATGATTATAACACTGTGTCCGGGTGTCTTTTATAGTCAAACTTGATTGTGCTCTCATGAAGGGTTGCGCTATTTTATTTATTGATATCATCAACTTCAACTTAATTTTTGCCTCAAATATTCCGCTTCCCTCGAAAACAAATATGGACTTCTACATGAGAGTAACTTCACATGATTTTTGGGAAATAATTTCAATCTCCATAATGAGAGGTAACATTTTCACTCTCACCAGTTGGCGCTACTAAAGCGCCAGTGTCAGTGTCAAAAATACCAAAACTTTGCTCGATAGCCCTAAAAGCTATGGCCTGTTTTATCGAAAATATTCGAAAGAAGAATGATGAGAACAAACAGAAAACCTCAAATTATCGAAAGACGTGAGGCGTCTTACGTTTTTAACTCTCAATGTGGAACCTTAGAAAAAGATATCGTAGCTAGTGGCCAAATAACATGAAAATAAGAAGTATATTAATCAGCGCGGTTTGGTGGACATTAAATAATGTTAACCCTCATTATTGTCAGTTCTCATATCAAATTTGTAAAAATTGGTCATTCATTCAAATTATATGTCTGATACAACATTGATCTATTCGGAAAATTCGGCTGAAGAAATCATGAAATATAGTGAAAGTGACTGTTATCTTCTTGGTTGAATCATGAAAAATTGAGTATTAATTAGAACAAATCAGCTTTCATGTATATATCTGAGAAATCTCTTCCTAATTGAAAAATCATATTATATTCAATAATGGAATCATCAGATATTCCACAGATATCAAATATATTGGTTTAATTATTGATCAAAATGTATCATGATCGAAACATATTGGAGAGATTCGAAAAAAAATTACCACCAATAGTACTTTACAGAATTAGACATGAAATTTCTTCGAATTATCTGAAACTTATCTATTATTCCTTAATTTATTCTAAAATTCAATATTTGATATCTGTTTGGGGTACGGCTAGTTTATCAATTATTATAAAGCCACTTACAGAATAAAGTTGTCAAATGTATATACAGGGGGTTTGGTGCATCGTGTGCCAAATTGAAATGGTCCAATGAAGGGGTTATCTGATATCCTTTGAGACTAGTTATCATCTTTCATGCCCTGTGGATTATTTTTAATCGTCTTTTTATTTGTTCATCAAAGAAAGACCCAAATTCCACATACAAATAGAAAATTTTTTAAAAGTATAAGGAGTAGATTCTGAATTTCAATTTTATTTAGATGTGTATTGTGTAAGAGTACTTTTGAATACGAAACTAGTGACATAAATCATCTAGTTTTTTTTTTAATTCACTCGCATAGTTTCGAAATATGTAAAACTCATATTAAAGCTGTGACTTTACATGGCTATAAAAAAAACCAGAAGCGACCAGGATCTTCCGACTCCTTCAAAAGTTCTCTAGCCTATCCTCTTGCTAATGATGTATCACATGCAATAAATATCTTTCAATAACTTTGTAAATCGCTAGAATTGTGAATAGAGTCAGATAAGGCAAATATTCAGGATTATGATTTACAAAATTATTTTTGTTTGAATGATAACTGAACATATAAAATTTGTTATCTCACTCTTACGAGGTGAAATCTGTCTCGTATCTCTATTTTATCGTGGATCATACTTGAAATAAACAAAAAATGAAATTGCATTTTTAACATTTATTCTGCATTCATTTCATAAATCTCACAAATCCTGCTCAAATTGTTGGCCTCTGTTACGAATGCAGGCTCAACATCTGTGTCGTATTTCGACAGTTGTTTTCGAAGTCGTATTTTCTCCTTGATGGAATCGAAGGCCGTTTCTATGCGTTGGACTAGTACCTCTCTAGTTGGAACTTCCGTGGCGTATACCAGCTCTTTGGCACGTCCCCAGACATAAAAGTATAACGGAGTTAGGTCTGGGGAACGTGGCGGCCATACAATAGGGCCATCGCGCCCAATCCATGACACCAACACTAATAAACTGGAAGAATCGCGGAGTACGATGAAATGAACACGTAAGGTAGCAGAGGCAGTGATGTCTCGACCAAAAAATTATGGGGTCGGTGGCAGTTCGTGTTTTGTTCGAACAGATTTACGTTGTGCAAGAAATATGAATTTCACATGTTTCTGGAGTAACAAATATTTTTTCAGATCATTTTTAATAATAACCTTATGAGACTTGATTGAAATTTCTAGCGAATTTACAAAGTTGTTAACGGATATTTATGACAAGTGACACATCGTTAGTAAGGTGAAAGACTAGGGAACTTTTGAGGGAGTTGGAAGATCCTGGTTGCTTTTGTTTTTTTTTTGTAGCCACGTAAAGTCACAACTTTGATTTGAGTTTCACATATTTCGAAATTTTGCGAGTAAATTAAAAAAAAAAACTAGATGACTTATGTCACTAGTTTTGTATTTAAAAGTACTCTAACACAATACACATCTAAATAAAATTGATATTCAGAGTCTACGCCTTATACTTTTTTTAAAATATGTATTTTAATGTGGAATTTGGGTCTTTCTTTGATAAACAGACGATTAAAAATAATCCACAGGACATGAAAGGTGTTAACTAGTCTTAAAGGATAGCAGATGACCCCATCATTCGACCATTTCAATTTGGCACACGATGCATTTTTTTTACCATCAATGGTACACCAAACACCCTGTATAAATTGGATTATTTGGAACCAACAAGAAACCTTTACCAAATGAAATATTAGATCTTCAATCGATATCTATATTTAAAATTAACATTCATTCATTCAGTCAAACACAATATTATAAACATTCCAATTTGAATATTAAAATTAATGCTAATATACATTAACTGAACATCAAAATCAAATCTGAATTTAACAAGAAATCTATATATTACAATGGATTATTACTTTACAATGAATTGCCAACAAAATCATGAAAATCATCCTTATCTCAAAGTGGTCCAAAGTCGTTGACGATTTGATTTGCCCGTCATGTTTGTTTTTCCATAATGCTACTTAGCTTTATAATTTGGTACGTTTTTGTCTGATGATGGCCGTTGCGCCGAAACAGGTTACATGTAGTATTTGATTGTTTTACATAAAGTGTGGTCGACCGACTTTGAGCTACTTTTTTTTTTTCTTTTGGAATTGCTAACAAGACTGAAAAAATATCAGTACCAAAAAATTCAAGAAAGATTAAATAGTTATTTATTATACAAGGGAAAAAAGTAGTAGTAGTAGTAGTAGTAGGTAGGTAGTAGTAGGTTTGTTGTCTCCCTCCGCTACGCGTCGGGAGACAACACAACCTGGAGCTAAAATCTAATATTTTTCCCGTGTATAATACACTATTTTTTTCTGTGACAGAAGAAAGGACGAATCAATATTGAGAAGATATCACATTATTTTGAAATCTGAAAATTATCGACGTGAAATTTTAAGTTTTCAACAGTAGGGACACCGCGTTGTAGGCATCTTTATCATTCATTTGAAGTAATCAAATATCTGATGTCACTTCTGTCAGTCTAATTATGTGATTTGATTTAAAGAAATTGCGAATTCAGTGGTTGTTTAGTAATATACGTAACCGCGAAGTCGAATGGAAGATAAAAGGATTTGTAGTTCTTTCTCGGAGACGGTATTATTGACTCATTTTTCGGAACTATAGCACAACAAAAGCCATCAACAGTGCATATACTATATGTGATATATATCCAGGAAAAAAGTTCTCACTTTTTTCCCACGGGAGAAAAGTAATTTATGAAAAGTGACATTTTATAACCTGTCAACAGGTATGAAATGCCAAACTGTTTTCCCGTCACAGAAAAAAAAATATTTATTCGGTTAAATTTTGTCATGTCATCCATATAGAGATCATATAACATATCAATTATTTTAATTATTCATTCACTCAAACAAGGATCAGCTCAAACTCAAAGAATTACTTGAATAATTATTATACCTATACCTACTACATTTTGAATGTAATACATTATGGTTCATTTTTTAATGTTCCCTGTTATAAACATATACGTCAATTGTTTCTTGGGAATAATAAAGATGATGATGATGATGATGATTAATATGGAAACTGGATAGTATACTTACATGGAATGATTCATAGAGAAGTTTCCTATAGCAGCCATGATAGATTTGTTATCTAGCTTGGAAATGGTGCACTTGCTGATCTTGAAATCGCATATCAGAGTCCTATCCGTGAAAGCTCCGCCTCTAATCTCTCCTATGTTCGTATCGACCATGACGATAGATGCAATTTCAGCAGCCTTGAAAGCTTCCGAATGGATGACTCCGATATTAGAATTTCGAAATGAGATGCTCGCAAGTGGCTTGAGGAACACTTCCCGAGGAATTTCGGGAATGCCTACGTTATCGAATATTATCTAAAAAATAAATCATGTCAATACAATGTGTTCGAATTATTGGTGGGTGTATGTCGGATATTATATGAAAAAGGAAAACGGTTGACTGGGAAATGTTTAGAAACAATTTTGTCAGTAACTTGAGGCAGTCCGCGTATCGGTTTTATTTGTTTTTGTGATGATGAAACTGATATGATGTTGTGATGATGAAACTGATATGATGCATCTTGAAAATAATGTGCAATAACTTTATTAATTCAATGATCGTTATGTTGAACACACAATTATTCACACATACTGATTGCGCCATGACATACCATAAGATGATGATCTTGTCATATTTATTGGTTGTTAATTCCTTTCAAATAAAAATCAAATTAATTTTTTTTAGAAATGAAAAAAACATTAATAACTTTCGAACCATCAACAATTGGATAACCACATATACGGTTAGTTTGATTGGAAATTACCCCCCCCCCCCCCCTACGACCCCACTTCTTTTGATCGATTACTTATGGGACACCCATAAAGTGGAACATCTAAGGAAATTTTTATGTCAGAAATATGCTTCAGCCACTGCTTTCATTTGGATGTTAATGCATGACACTACATATCCACTGAGAGATTTTTCTCAGTTGGTCGATTGAAATATTTCGTTTCAACAATTTTCATTTCTCAAAATACAGACCCGCTCAATCAATTTGAACTAAATAATTCAATTAACTGAAGAGCAAACACAGATATTCGTTTTCGGATATGAGATACTAAAATTTAGTAAGAGTTTCTCTGGATTTATCTGTATCTTCGTCTATATCTGAAATTATCTGCAATACCTCATTTTGTACAGTGGAAATATAGATACTAAATTATTACTGTCATAGTGTCTCATCTTCGTAGTTATTATTATTTATTTTCCCGCGATCGACCGTTTGAGCACCCCTGGACAGTATAATTTGGATTATTTATTTAATCATTAGGTTACAGTTATAAAGTGTCGATTTTCTAGAACTAACCATACTTACTACAGTAACAGGGCCATGCCTTCCGATGTTTCCTTGGTTCTTGAAATCGAAAGATTTCTCATGAAACTTGATTTCTCTTACATTTTTGAATGTACTGTTGTATAGCTTACTGAAGGCTGCTTGCTCTATAGTAATGTAACCAATATCGAATAATTCTGTAGAGACAGAGCTCTGAAAAAAAAAAAATTGATGTTAATCCTGTTGAAAATGGAGGTAGTAAAAACTCCGAACTAAAATTTTATTGTCGTTTCATTGTACGAGTATCCCATTTGGAGACGCTACTGTGTTAGCGAAACATGTCGTGTTATCGAAAGTTTTGTATGAAACTGATACTTCATAAAGTTTTCACAATATTTTTAAAATTAAATTTGTTGCTCTGATAGATATGATTTTCCGCACACTCTAATACTAGCGAGGTCTGGTGAAATTCAGGTACAAAATTACCACTTTTACTACTTTTTGACATGGGAATGATTGTGGTCACGTGGTACTTGGTTTTGAAGGTCTTTTAACTCTATCCAACACCGCTTCGTTTGTGCAAATCTGCCAAGTCGTTCCAAACTGACAAATATTAGCAATTAACCTTGGAAACACTAAATAACGTGAGGAATGAATTCCAAAACCGATTGTTTTCTGCCAATTGTGTCAATTGTTACAATTATTACTTAATATTTTGTTGCAATTGAAAGATATTCAGGTATTTTATCTATTTGTAAAATATTCAAGCAAATTGCAAAGGCTTGTCAGTTTGAAAGTAGTAAGAGAGGTATTTTTTTACCTGAATTTTACCCGACCCCCTTAACTGATTCCGTTCAAAAGTTGAAAGGGGGAAAGACTTTTTACATCCTCACTGTATATTAGAAACGTATATATACAGCACAGATTGAACAAGAGAGAACTCATCACTCTTGATTCATTTTTGCAAATATTTCAGTGACAACTTTCAATTCTGTTAAATGGAATGACTTCAATAGAAGAGAATAAGTCGGTCTGATAATATGGACCAATTTGTCAGTTTATTTTTTCTACGCTACAGACACATGAAAATTCGAAATGAAAATCTTAGTATGAAATATCAAATATTAACCTCGAATGGCGTATCGACTTTCAACTTTTTGAGTACATAGAGCATTCAATCATAACATTCTTGATATTCATTACACACAATATATCAGACTGGACACACGTCGATTAGAATGACTTTTCTCCTTGAAATGAAGTCAAAAATCATGATCCAAACATTTTTTATCAAATTGTATGTACTGATCATTGCATTTTTTTAATTATAACTTTGCCATTACTTCATGGACATTTTTCGTTTATGAAAAATTTAGTGAACAATATTTCACGACAGGAAGATTTTCACAATATTCTAAAAAACACATGTTTCGCTGACACAGGAGCATCATCGAGTGACAATGCTCATAATAAATTAACATATACATTGACCATTCTCTTGAGTAACTAGTATAGCAAAGTTGGAAAAATATTTATTCAGAATCAAGGACGATGTTTATTCTCGTGTTTATTATTATTTTCTTCAAGATCGCTCGTTTTCAACATCTTTCCTATAGAGAACTACTCTAGATGCCAATAGAGAGTTAATGATTACACGAGAGTCTGTTAATAGCATTATAGGATAATAGTATGAGAGATTTCAAACATTGTCTTCAGCCATTTTTGTCTTGGTTGAATTTTTTTTTGAAATGAAGAACGTTACGAATGAGGAATCACTAGGCCCCTTATTTATAAAAAAATCCGAAATGGTGTCTAGTCGCTATTTTGAAAGATGAATATTTTTTTTGTTCGAACTACTACGGGAACAAAAAAAATTATGAAAATTCCCAGCCATTCGAAAGTTTACTAAAACTAGGAAGGGGTTACTTTTTGGATACAACGTCAACTCATAGCTCTGTTGGAAATTCTGTGGTGTAGGTTTTTCACTCACCTGAATATATTCGAAGGCACCAGTCTTAATAATTATTTCATCACAGTTTTGCATTTGAATTAGTAGACTAGAAGAGTTAATGTTATAAAAGGACTTTGTCTCCATCACAATTTTCTTTGTGCCATTGATGTAGATCAGCGTCAGTCCTGGCATGGCATTGAAGGTTTTAGATGCGATAATGATCTCTTTTCCACCCATAATGTAGATCTCGAACGCTTCTTTGGGGATCAGATAAGAATCGAAGTTTACTACCTGAAAAAGAAAAATACCCAGTTAACCACACTTGTATCAGAACTATCACAAGAGGGATCAGTCAAATAACCTTGTTTAACCACGACTGTTGTATAAAATATTCATAATACATGTACTTCATCAAGCAAAACGATAGCAATTTTTCACACCATTGAATAATAGCGGGTGAATAACCATTATTCACTGGTCTAGAGTTCCTAGGGTACGCGATATAACATTGTATCAATATAACAGGTATCAATTTTTAGTGTTCTTCATGTCAAATAAGTTATGAAAAAACATTTGCTGGAAATAAATTTGTATATCAGCTAATATTCACTCAGGATAATTATGCCACTTGCGTATTCGTGAATAATATCGCTCATTATTTTTGAATGATATACTATTCATTACATGCAACGGAAACATTTGCAACTTGTATCTAGAATATAACTTGTATTGCTAGATTGCTACCAAACAGTGTTTCATCACACGTTATTTCGACGTAAATTTGAGGCATCCTAGGCGTCATCACAAACGAGATAAATCAAAAAACTCCGTTTCATCGTATCGTTATCATCAGTGACATATGCATCAGTTTGACAAGAAACGTTTCATAAAATATCCTTGGTTCATATGAATAAAATGTCCATTAGGTACGTTGATGCCAGGAATAACTGCAGCCAAACAATAGATGCTTCGAAAGAAACATACAATGCCAAGATAATATCGAAACTCATAGATTGCCCCAATGGCTCCCGTTCGTTTTGGTCCCTTGCTAAAGCAGCCGGAAGAAATTTCACTAGTAGTTCATTTCCACCACTGTCCAAATCTGACGGCACATTAGCAACAACATCGCAGGAGAAAGCAAATATTTTTGCAGAGATGTTCGCAGCAAACTCTACTTTAGATTCCCAAGGAAAACTGCCGCCAGACATTCCACCCGTTGGGAGTCGAATGCCCGAAATCGTCTTCCGTCAACGCACTATCAGACGAATTTTGCTTGGTCTCAAAACGAATAAGGCTAACGGTCCTGATAGAATTCCACCCATTATCCTCAAAAAATGTACACCAGAATTAACACCGATTCTCTGCAAGTTGTTTACCATCTCGTACAGGTCGGGTATTTTTCCATCATGCTGGAAGACAGCTAGAGTCCAACCAATCCCCAAAAAAGGGAACAAGAACCTGCCCAACAACTACAGGCCCATTGCCCTGTTATCAGTAATCTCCAAAGTGATGGAGAAAGCCATCAATATTGAGCTTATCAAATATCTGGAGAGCTCAGGAATCATCAATGATAGACAATACGGCTTTCGCCACCGAAGATCTACTGGAGATCTACTTGCCTACGTCACCCATTCATGGCAATCTTCAATAGAAAAACACGGGAAATCTCTAGCTGTCGCGTTGGACATATCGAAAGCATTCGACCGTGTTTGGCACGAAGGACTCCTCCACAAACTACCATCATACAGCTTACCACCTCAGCTATGCCATCTCTTATCGAGTTTTCTTTCAGGCAGATCGCTTCACGTGGTGGTGGACGGTGTATCGTCTGATACCATTGGCATCAATTCCGGCGTTCCACAAGGATCAATTTTGGCACCAACATTATTCCTGCTTCATATCAATGATCTGTTGGGAGTAACAACTTGCCCCATCCACAGCTCTGCAGATGATAGTGCCCTCCATACTGCGTTCTCTTCCAGAATTCCCATTTCTTCCCAGGAAACTAAGAACTCACGGCGCAGGCAGGTCAATGCTGTCAATGAAGATCTTGCTGAAATCACAGCCTGGGGACCAAACAACCTAGTTGAATTCAACGCCACCAAAACTCAAGCCTGCATTTTCTCTAGAAAGGCGGAACTCAGTATGCCCGATATTGTAATGTCTGGCTCCACCATCCCCACCAAGCCCACCATATCTATGCTCGGTATTTCCATCAGCAACACTCTTTCATGGGATAATCATGTCAGATCCATCGCAAAAGCTGCTTCACAAAAACTCGGATTCTTGTTCCGTGCGAAAAGCTACTTTACACCTCAACAGCTTCTCATGATCTACAAAGCGCAGATACAGCCTGTTCTAGAATACTGTTCCCACATATGGGGTTCAGCACCAAAACATACGCTGATGCTCTTAGATTCCATCCAGAGAAGAGCCATTCGCCTGGTGGGTGACGCCACACTCACTCTTTGACATCATTGGAACACCGTAGAAAGGCCGGCGACCTTTCACTTTTCTATTGATACTTCCACGGGAAATGTTCTTCGGAAATCTCTGCTATCATCCCTTCACTAGCAATACCAATCAGACGAACTAGACAAGCCCAGTCAGCACATCCTTTCGTTGTCAACCTCGAAAGATGTCGAACAGCACTTTATCAAGACTCCTTCATCCATAGAACGGCTAGGCTCTGGAATTCATTGTCTGTGGAAGTATTCCCAACAACATATAATCTCCAAAAGTTCAAAAAAAAATCCAATGCCTACCTCCTGTCCCTATCCTCCTCAGGAACGCACGATGTTCTTTGAATATTATAGGGATTCCCTTTCGTGCGCTCCAAGCGATAAAAAAAACTGTACTCACATGTTGAAAAGTTTTCTCCGAACTGTGCTATTCCAAAGTATTACATTTCTTAATTGGCTATTGCAGTAAGAGTAAGCATATTGCCTTTCTGAAGTGAAAATAATATTTTTCCCCAGCTTAGGGAAACTATTTAATAATAAATTTTAATGGACATTTCATTTATATCGACCGAGAATATTTCATGGAATGTTTTTTGTCAACTCAACGAGTATGCACTGATGTTGTATGGTTGAGTTCACATGTTAACCTTGGTCTTATACCACTAAACTATACAGAAGATAAATGGGAACGGTCCATTATGCTTAATCATTACTCTATAAATATCTCAAGGTTTCCATATGCAACTGCTAGATCTCATAACTAAGAGATCTAGGATGAACAGAGTTGCCCCAATTGTCAGCAGGAGCGAGACAGTAGTGTTTTCACCCACCAGGTCTCATCAGCCGCTCTCGGTCTGCTGACAATTGTGACAACTCTACGCTTCGGGTATATCACCGATCTCGAAGACGCAGGGTATAACATGAAGTTCTAGTTATGTTGTAACCATCTAGTAGTCTAAGGTAGGATCAAGAGATCACGACACATACTATATGGCGCTGCCATCTATAGTCACACGTACAGACCCTTACGTCTAGTCTACAGGCTACAGAGTGGTACTACTAGTAAACCACTCTGCTGACAGATGGCACTACCTGACATATACTTTCAACCGCCCTATTCAACTGCTAGATCTCATAACTAAGATATCCAGGATGAACAGTGTTGCCCCAATTGTCAGCAGGAGCGAGACAATACTGTTTCGACCCGCCAGGTCTCATCAGCTGATGCTGCATCTAATTTCATCGCATCATCAAACTTGCTTAACTGATTTGGGGTTATTAATATGTATTGTGTGTTATGATTGTGATTGAAAATGTGTTCGGCAACACACGATTTATCTAACCTACCATATCTCAAATATGCAAGCTGTTCTTAGAACCTTGTAACACACATATTAATAGCCTCAAATTAGTTAAGCAAGTTGAAAATGTTAGGAAATTAGATGCATATGAAAGCATAGAGATATTTAAGAATAGTAATAAATAGAGTAATGAATAAGGATAATGTAGTTATCTCATTTAGCCCTCTGTATAGTTTAGTGATATAAGACCAAGGTTAACATGTGAACTCAACCGTGAAAAACATTAACTTGGTGATTAGTATCTTTCACGGTTGGGTAGACATGTACCTAGTATATAAGTAGCACACTAGGATAGAACATTTAGTTTTAATCTCCTCCTGAAGATACTAACATAGTTAGCGAAACACGTGTCGAGGCGTAAAAAATCGGTTGGTTAGTGGTAAAAGAGTTCGTAGTGTATTATCGTGCCAAATGTTTCAGTCTCCGATATACACTGTGTCCATAAAGTCACCCCCCCCCCTGGTTAACTATTGAACGGATGGGATTTTTTTTTTCAATTTTTTTTTGCTTCAATGGTAGTTTCAGTGCTACATATTGATCCAAAAAAAAAATTATGTATATGTATATTTTTTTAAATGGAGTGGGGGGTCGAAAGATACCTCGATTGAAAGGTCTATCGATTATCTATACAACCTAAGAATATCAGACGAAAATATTCATCCAAAACAAAATGGCGGATGATAACGTTTGAAATTTCACACCAGAATTATTTCGACTAGATGGCTATTAAAGTGCTCGCATGTGATCTTCAAATTTCTATTGGCGTATAGAAGAGTTCTCTATCTATGAAGATATCAATAGGAAGCCATTTTGAAGAGAATAACATGGTAGTCAATTATTACCTTTGCTCGATTGTCTTTCCAAATTCTGCAAAGTTTTAGAAATATTTATTCAAAATGAAGAACAATGTTTATTCCACGTGACTACCATGTTATTCTCTTCGAAATGGCTTCCTATTGATATCTTCATAGATAGAGAACTCTTCTATACGCCAATAGAGATTTGAAGATCACATGCGAGCACTTTAATAGCCATCTAGTCGAAAAAATTCTGGTGTGAGATTTCAAACGTTATCATCCGCCATTTTGTTTTGGATGAATATTTTCGTCTGAGATTCTAAGGTTGTATAGAAAATCGAAAGACCTTTCAATCGAGGTATCTTTCGACCCCCCACTCCATTTAAAAAAATCTTCCAAAATGGCGCCCAGGCGCCATTTTGAGGGATACATATTTTTTTTTGGAACAATATGTAGCACTGAAACTACCATTGGAGCAGGAGAGAAGTGAAAAAAAAATCCCATCCGTTCTAAAGTTAACCAGGGGGGGGGGGTGACTTTATGGACACAGTGTATATTATTCAATGTTATCGATTAAATACAGGGTGTCCCTGAAAAGTCTGTACAAAATCTCACCACATATTCCTGAAGTTGAAATAAGCCGATTTGAAGTAACTTACCTCAGTCCGAAATTGCTCCATTTCCGAGATACAGGGTGGTAAAAAATAAAAATCGAATTTTTCAAACTGTATCAACATTTTTAAAAGTGTCACTT